CCTCCCGGTATCGCCACTCTCACCACTGGTCCTGAAGGGATCTTCTGTTCTGGATTCCCTGTGTTTCCAGTTCCCATCTTGCCTTTTTTTGCCATTCAACTGAGTGCTCTTTTGGGTCCAAGCTGGTCATTCCTTCAGCAGGACATCTCTGGGGTGGGGGTGTGGGGTGGGGTGGGGCCCCTGAACCTCAAAGCCCCTGCCTTTGAGCCCCTCTCCAGCTTTATAGATCTGGCCTCCTGACTCCCTTAATAGATTATCTGGGCCTGCTGTGTCCCCATTAGCTGTGCCCCAGCACGAGGCCCCTAATGAGGCTGAGTAGACACTCACGGGAGGCTTGGTGACAATGGCATCACTTACCATGATGGAGTACTTGCCTGTCACCACAGGGCCAAGCACACACACAGGGGGTCTTACAAAGTACATGTGCTTGCTGCCCGTGCCTTGTAGCCAAGGCCTGCCCAGGGCCCCAAGGCTCACCCTATAGCGTGATGTAACAAGGCTTGAGCCCCAAGACTCAACCACAGGTCTTTCAGATGTGCACCTTGATGGCACTTTGTCTGTCTGTCTTTCCTGAGGTCCCTAACTGAGACCACCTGTGAATACAAGATGGTGAGTCAGCGATGATCTTACACTGCACCAGACAGGGCAGACCGACTCTTCCCTAGGGCCCCGGTGCACCACCTGTTCAAGCAAGAGACCCAATCATGCTTGGCCTTATTGGGCTGCCCCAGTTCCCAATGCCACGACATGGAAAAAACTAGAGCCCTTGACCTTGGCCAGCATGGCCAGCATTATGCTAATAACCACGCTCAGTGCTGCTCCCTGGGTGCCCTTGGGATGGAGAAGGGCCTAGCCCAGGAGCCTGGATCAGGGAAGGGGCGGGCAAGGCCAGGTGTCTTGGCACTTGGTGTCTTCCAGGGGGTATGGGGGAGGTGAGGGATAATCGATGATTAGGGCTAACAGAAGATCAAGTCCCGGTTTAGCCAAAAGTAGATTACTGCCCTAGACATTACCCCACACCTCTGAGGGCGTGGATGCTGGCGGCTGCCCTCCTCCCCGCCCCTCAACAGCTCATGGGCGGGGAAACGAGAAACTGGTCCCACAGTCTCGCCAAAGGTAGAGGCAGGAGAAAGGGGCACTTTGAGGTGGGGGGCATGAAAAGCAGGTGGGTGGAGCTTGGGCAAGACCTCCAGGATTGAGACAAGAGGTGGGGAAGTGAAAAATAGCTCCGGCCTAGTGTCCCCACCTGTGTTTGGAGAAATAGGACACTCAAGCCCCCCCCCCCTTTGCCAGTATACACATCAGCACCCCATCCTCTGGGCCCAGGACTTCTGCCAGGCTAGGAGATTAGGCACCAGACTTGCCTCTAATCCGACTACTCCAACGTGCCCCAGAGCATGCGGGCAATCGGATCAGGAGTCACAGGGCGGACTCTGCTCCAGAGTCCTATGGGGCCTACCTTTTGTCTTGGTCTCCGGACCCTTTTTCTGTATATCGAATCGAATTTGCACAGGGTCCAATATGACTACATTTCCTGGTGGCGTGGGGCCTTCCCACCAACCCTGAAGTGCCTCCGCCATTGTGACCATGCCATACCAGGCAGGAATCAGCCATTGCCACAGGTCACTGGCCTCAGGACCCTGACACCAATTGGATTTGCCTTGGGCTCCCGATGACCTAGGCCCCTAACTGGTCACTGGGTCTTCATTTCCTCCCTCTCTCCCACAAGGCGGCTCTCCTTCCAAGCTCTCTGACTCTAACGTCAGTGCCCTTGTCTGACACGGCTTTAGGGAAGTCCCGGCACAGTGTTTGGCCATTTTAAAGGGAACAATTCCAAATGTTCACAAGAACATGCCCATCCCCCAAAAGGGAGCCTGTCCCCACCCCTCTCCCCACAGCCCCTGCTGTCTGCGTCTGTGGACAACCCAGAGACATGGAGTCAGATGTTATGCGGCCATGTCACCTAGGTTTCGTACTTCATGGCTCTCCACGGCAGACGGAGCACCAGGCCTTGTCTGGATGAACCCCATGGTGCTTCTCCCTCCATCTGCTGCTTCTTCCTTTCAGTCATGTGACTAGTGCGGTAGTGAACATTGGCAGACAAGTCGCTTTTTGAGTCCCTGCCTCCAAGCCTCTTGGTCAGATTACGAAGAGTGAAATTGCTGAGTCCAATGGTAACGTTATTAGAGCCTTGATGGCAGACGTAGTGCAGGGAGTCAAACTCAATGAAAACTCGGGCCATGTGGTGCAACAGGCAATATTCACGCAGGCCACATCACATTTACATATTTTGTTAAATTTATATTTTGAAGTGAGGATTCAGGATTATGGATAGGACAATTAAAATACTATATAATTGCTTTTACGTAAACATTTATTTTATTTAATGTATTCATAAAACTAAAATTATTTTTTTACCTGAAACTTTCCAGTGCTTTCCTCCTACTAGTTTTCACTTACCTCTTATGTTGTGACCGGAAACTATAACAAAGCAACTAATAAAAAACACAAAATGTTGGACAGCTGACAAACGTGATGCACAATCGGAATGGCTTCCCTCTAAAAATGTTAACTAGCGCTGCCGCTAGGTATGATTCACAACAGCACAACCCAGAGTGCTATTTTTAACCTTTTCGCTATTGGGATCTGCTTACATTACATGACACTGAGAGTGGCAGACATATCGCTTCCAAA